CTGCGCAGAGCCAAGTTCAAGTTCCCAGGTCGCCAGAAGGTAATGCTCACACCTCCAGGGTTGTGATTTTATTTTGCTCAGCGTTATGTTTCAAATGCAAAGGGGGGGAAACACCAGCTGAGTTAGTGTGCATCTCTAATGCTCTCATGGCCCAGCTCTGCAGTCTATTAAGCCGACCAGTTCTGCTCATGTGCGTCTCTGGTGTGCAAAGGCTGCAGACAGCGACTCTTTGGTTGTGTATGTCCTCAGCTGGGAGGTGCTGAGTGCTTTAAGGGACCACTGAGACAAAATTCCTTCAGCCAATTGCAACTATAACAACGCTACTTATGAGCCTGAGTTAACGTCTGTCTTTGCTCTTACCTTCAGATTCATATTTCCAAGAAGTATGGCTTCACCAAGTTCAACGCCTGTGACTTTGATGACATGATGGCCGAGAAGCGTCTGATTCCCGACGGCTGCGGGGTGAAGTACATCCCCAGCAGAGGTCCTCTGGCCCGCTGGAAGAGCCTGCACGCCAACTAGAGCTGCTGCAAGCTTTCTGTGACCAGACAACCAATAAAAGTGGGTTTGAATACAAAAGTGATTGTGGTCATGGCTTTAATTTCCACTTATCAGGATGGATACTCTATCAAATGATATCTGGACTTGATCTTTAGTAGTACCGATGTTCAAGCTTTTAAAGGTGGATTCTGCAATTCTGGATAAAGACTGATATTTGTCAGCATATGTAGGTAGTAAACACGTACCAGATGTATGATCCCTCTTTCCTCTGTTCCCTTTCTCCTTGTCCTACTCAACATGAATGTGCCCAAGACATGCTGGAAGAGTGTTTTATGTCCTTTTAGCTTCACATTTACAGAACAATGAACTGTTTAACTTCCAGTGTGTTGGAATAAAATTGCAGACTTCACCTCAAAGTAGTGAGGATTTATGTAAATGGAAGCTTTGGGGCTGAACAGTTTGTTCAACTATTTTATTCAAAGGACTTCCGCTTGTACAGTTTCCACCCAGTCACATGAAATTACACAAAATGTGAACTTGCAGTAATAAATGCCTCAGATACGGGGTGGATTTGCTTCCACTTAAGGGACTCAACATGGATCATTATGTCCAGAGTTGTGAGTATTCCTGAAATTTCAGTGTTTGTCAGGTGTGAGATCAGTGTAAGCAGGTAAACAATTGGACTGTAGTTCAATCAGTGCACCATGTGGTAGCCACAAAGTGCAGATTAGATTCAGTTCTGTGATTTATTACACATCCACACCTGTACAGAGGTAACGTTACATAGAACTCAGAAGTGACGGCTCAATGATGCAACATGTGCTTAACATTAAAAAAAAAATCATAGCATATACATCAAACTACAATGAAAGCACAGACATTAAACTGATAAATTGGGGAAAAGAAGAAGGCAACTGACCAACAGCCTCTGAGTATTTACATCTCATTACACTTGTAAGAAAATCCTACGAGTGAAATCCCAACAAAGTGGCCACCAGCAAACCATAAATACAGTTATGTTCAAAATAATAGCAGTCCAACATCACTAACCGAATCAATCACTGTTTGTGGTAGAAATTCTATGTCTACATGGCAAATTTACAAGTAGGTGTAGCAGAGAAAACCAACGGACATGCATACCGCTGATTCTGTGTAATCAGATCATTAATTGAAGAACAGCGTACTTTAATTAAAAAGTTGATTGGAGAGTGTAAACCATATAAAGAAGTGCAGAAAATGATACGCTGCTCATCTAAAGTGATCTCAAATGCTTTCAAATGGCAACCAACACCAGGAAGAGGTGGAAGAAAATGGAAAACTACCATTGGACTGGATCGAAGAATAGCAAAAATGGCAAAGACTCAACCAATGATCAGCTCCAGGCAGATCAAAGAAGGCATGTGAGGCCTAGCTATGGACAAGAAGCCCCCACACAGTCCTATTGTTGCAGAAACAACATGTGCTGAAGAGGTTATTGTTTGCCAAAGAACACACTGACTGGCTGATAGAGAAACCACATTTTGTGGACTGATGGAAGCAAGACTGTTCTTTTTAGGTCTATGAGCTGCAGCCAGTTTGTCAGATGACCCCCAAACACTAAATTCAAGCCACAGTACGCTGTGAAGACTGAAGCAAGCATCATGATATGGGGATGCTTTTCATACGACGGTGTCTTTGTTTAGTTTGCACAAAGAGAACACAGCTAACAGATAAAAGCATTGTGCAGGAAGAGGCAGAACTGGGTGGGCTTATTTACAGCCTCATACGGAAAAAATATTCACAAGAAATAAACAAGGAAAAAAAACATGAACAAATAATACCTGGTCATTAAATAGCAATTAAATGATCTTTCAAATGTTTCTATCGATGCAGAAATCTTAGATGTGAAAGGAAAGCTGTTCCATAGCTTAGTACTCCTCAACTTGAATAGAATTTGACCTCAACGAGTCAGAAATTCAGCTGTATGTGGATCTGAGTGCTGCTGAATTAAATACGAATGGACCTGTGACGTAGTGGTAAAATAAGACCTGAACTGTTTCAGAATATTCCCCTTCAAGTGAATGCATCTTATTACAAAAAAACACATATTTGAAAAATATTAATAGAACTGGTAAGAATATATAATTTCCGAAATAGAAGCATAAGTGGAGCGTGAAACTCTGATCTGGTTATAGTCCGAACAAAACGCTTCTGAAGGAGCAACATCAACAATTTCCCTGAAGTTTGCACCAAAGGGATCAATAATAATAATTCTATTCTATTCTATTCTATTCTATTCTATTCTATTCTATTCTATTTTGTGGAGAGGTCCGAAAAGTCCACCCCCAAACTGTATTGCAATATGAAAGATGGGGATAAAATAAACTATTATAAAGAGAGAGGAGACAGTTTAAGGTGAAAAAATGACGGAGCCTCCTCATTAAACCGATAGTTTTATTCATTTTACAGCTAACCCAGTCTGAGCGATTTGTCCAACTCAGAGTCTCATCAACATAAATTCTAAGAAACCTTGTGGTTGATACTTGGGGTATGCTAGGGTATGATCTTTTATCACTAAAAATAATTAAAATTAGATTTGTTGATATTCACAGACAACTCATTTAATCAAAACCGTGAGATACAGGGAGATAACCCAACACTGGCATCCTTTATAAGTGAATTGAAATCTATATGTGAGACATCAGGGTTGTATCATCTGCAAACATTATTGGGGAGAGAACATCTGATACATTAGATAAATCATTTATAAAAATTAGGAATAAGAATGGGCCAAGAATGGACCCCTGGGGGACCCCACAGAGCAATCTGGTTTTATTTGAGTAACAATACAGACAAACTGTGCTCTGTTGAAAAGATATTGTTTTATCCATTTAAACGTAACATCCTGAAAACCATATTTATGAAGATGCCACAATGAAATTCATTCTTCTCAGAGCAGACATAATTTTGTCAACCAGGTGAAGGAGAGCCGTATAGGTGGAATCATTCTACAAAAGCCAGACTGATGTCTATAAACAACTCAACTTGTATCGAGATGAGAAAGAATCATTTTTTATATAATTTTTTCTACTGTTTTTGAAAAACGTGGTAAAATAGACATACTTATTGTAATAGCATGGATCATCTGCTTTACTGTTTTTCTCAGCTGCTTTGGTACATTTGTGGAATCATCCTCGACATTTGCAAAAAAGTGCATTTATTAAAAAAAAATCGTACGAATAGCGAAACACCAGGGATTACCTGCAAAAGGCAGTTACTTGCTCAAAATCCTTCATCTCTCAAAACTAAATATGTGTGTCAATGAACATGTCAGTGGCATCAGAATGACAAGTCCTTGTGTAAGTGTGAACGGAGAAGACAGTCACATTGTTTAGTCATGTTGTTAGTGTAACTGTGTACTCTGGAGGGATGCTCTGATGTAAACTATGGCTGAAGCTTTGATGACAATTATTGTAAATCGTGAGTTACACCGTAGTGTGTGTGGGAGATTGAGATTGGACAAGATTCACATTTACTGTTTGTACTGTAATTTGTTGACAGATCATGTCACTGCGATACAGAAAGGAAAAGACAGCACAAAGAAAAAAACAAAAAAACAAAAGTAGAAATGTGAACACAGGACAAGCTCCTTGGGGAAAACTGTACATGCAGTGCTGTAGGAATTACAGTGCAGTCTTACTATATACTGGCCAGTTGATGATTCATAAGATGCACCGTTGAGCTATTTCAGAAAACTGGTTGATCACTGGTTGATCTATGTGATGCTTCACACATTTCCCTTCATTGGAGAAAGTCAGGATTCCCCTGGGAGCAGCTTACCAGTTCAGGACAGATTTAGAAAAAAAGTCTGATGGAAATGTATAGAAACATGCTCGACATACTATGACAACTTGTTCAAGACTATTCAACAGAGACACATTATTACACATGTTGATCAACATGACATAAGCAGTTGATAAAGTAGGAAACAGCAGAGAATTGTACACAATCATTAGCATTGATGTACCGAAGCATTTAGAAGTTGTTCAAAGAAATGAGAAACTGCTTTTTTGATGTGCACGAGTGACACAGTGATGTGAAGATTGAACAAGTACTTTTGTGATTTTCAATTCTGATCTGAGAAACGTACCAAAACAACTGAGAAAAACTGTAAACAGAGGAATAGCTTTTGCCACTTTTAAATCAGTGGGCGCCATAGCCTCTTTTCAGTGAGAGAGAGTTAGTGGCTGCAATATTGACTGTTTCACCTGTTTGACAAGAAATGGAGAAATGTCGTCATGACCAGCGGAGGATGTTTTTAGTTCGCCAGTGATGTCACTGCTTGGATATTTGGATGCTTAAATGAAGAGATAACAGGGAGGGATTTTATCAGGTAATTCATGCCCAATGTTAATGAAAAAGTCACATGATCTTTTGTTATGCTAAGAGAAGCAGCTCTTGCCCCAACACAGCGCCTGAAGCCTGCAGATAGACTTCCTGCAGTCCCTCCCACAGGAAGCTAACTGACTAATCAGCAGAAAGGAGGAGCGAGACACAAACGCGCCCTACAAGTTCAAGAAACAACAAAGCTGGTAAGTTGCTGCTGTTTTACTTTGACTTACTCGAATTCTTTGACGAACTGAGTCAAGGAAAAAGAATCCTATTGGAGAATGTGACCTGTAATCTGATGCCTGTATGTTGTGTGTCTGTGAGTGTGTGTCTGTGTGTGTGCTGATGACTGAGGCAGATAAACACAGCGAGAGTGAGCAGAAGAAAACACCACACGCTCGACAAGCAAATGTTTGACTGAGACTTTGTATGTTGTTAAGAAGGGCATAAAACGTTGGAGTGATTGAGGCAGAAGCTCACGTTTCAGCAGGTTTTCCAGCCCTCAGCTGTCCTCCGCTTCACCGGACAGTGCTGCCCAAATGGAAACAGATTTCCTGTAAAGCGAGACATACTGCTGTCAGTGTAAAGTTAACCGAAGCTGTCACATGTGAGAAAACAGAAGTGTAACTGGCAGCGGTAAACCCCATGCTTGAACTTGATGAATTTCCCCATAATTCTCACGACTCGAGGGTTCTTTGACTCCTGACCCTGAATGAACTCTCCAGAGAAGAGCAGCATAGAAGCCTTTCCTGCTTCTTGATCTGCTGCAAAGTCAATAAATTAAACTAAATAAATATCAAACCTTGGATGGTCACAGCTGAAAAACCGCCACATTAGTCATGTGACTCTGGATATTATTTTTAGAAGCGATGGACAGCTGTAGCTGTATCAACTGACCAAATAGCTCAGCCATCAACAAAAGTTGCTATATTTACATTTATATTTGTTTTAATATAATTTCTTACTTGTGCTGGCCTTAAATAACTCATGTAACATTTGGGAAAATACACTGTCTTGCCAATAGTTAGATGAAACAGTGATACCACTCTCATGTCTGTGTTAAATATGAGGCTAAAGCAGGGTTAGCTTCGACCTAAACAGCTAGCATGGAACTCCGCGTGAAAAATAAACCGAAAACATTTTTATTTTTGCTCAACAATGTACAGCTTTGTTGGCTTTAAGTGTGATTTTAAAATACACTTACCTGCTGCCTTCAATTCAGTTTTATTCATATAGCGCCAATTCACAACATACGTCATCTCATAGCACAAATTGCCAAGTAACAGATGAGAAATCGACACCATTGTCAAGTCTGTGTGTTAAATGTGAAGCTGTAGCAGTGTTAGGGTACAGCTAAACAGCTAGCATGTACCTCTGAGTGAAAAACAAACCCTAAAACCTTTTCATTTTGCTTATTAATTTAAATGTAAGTTGGGTTGGTTCTAAATAGATAGTGTGACATTTAACAACACATGTATTTAGTGTAATAGAGGAGAAAGCTAATGTCAATATCACTCTCATGTCTCTAATGTGACACTGAAGCTAAGTGGTGATTAGCTTGGAACTAAACAGCTAGCATGTAACTCTGTAGAAAACAATAAAACAAAAACCTTATCATTTTGCTTATTAATGTAAATGTAAGTTGTGTTGGCTCCAAATAAATAGTGTGACATTTAACAATACATTTATTATAGAAAACTAATGTCAGTATCACTCTCATGTCTACATTAACGTGACGCAGAAGCTAAGTGGTGATTAGCTTGGAGCTAAACTGCTAGCATGTAACTCTGTAGAAAAAAAATAAAACAAAAACCTTATCATTTTATTACTGAATGTTGCTGTAACTTCTTGTTTCTCTAAATAAATAGCGTGTTACTTAAAAACACGCTTCTTTGCTGTCTTGAGAAGTATATTGAGGAGAAAATTGATACCGCTCTCATGTCTGTGTTAAATATGAAGCAACAAGGAGCAAGATTAGTTTTGAGCTAAACAGCTAGCACATAACTCAGCATGTAGAAAAAAAACAGAAAAGCTTGTCATTTTTGCTTCTTAATGTTAAAACAACTTTGTTGGCTTTAAATACACCGTATTACATTTTAAAATACACTTACCTGATGTCTTGTCAAGTAATAAATGAGAATACCATTGTCATGTCTTTGTGTTAAATGTGAACCTGTAGCCATGTTAGGGTACAGCTAGCATGTACCTCTGAGTGAAAAACAACCTAAAAAAAACCTTTTAATTTTACTTATTAATGTAAATGTACCTTGTGTTGGTTCGAAATAAATAGTGTGACATTTAACAAACATGTATTTAGTGTAATAGAGGAGAAAGCTGATGTCAGTATCACTCTCATGTTTCTATATTAATGTGATGCTGAAGCTAAGTGGTGATTAGCTTGGAGCTAAACAGCTAGCATGCAACTCTG